TATCTTCTAAATGACAAACGACTTACATTCTTGGATTCACTTACTTACGTCTTGGATTCTTATACAGTCATCACTAGACTTAATACTTTTTTCATAATTGAAGGATTTGGTATCACCAAGTTGTGGTACGACGAGGTGAATGACTATAATTATGATGACCCATCTAAAAGTACCGGTACTGTAGGTAAGTGGACGTAAGAATTCCTTCATTCTTTTCCACCTCCCCCCATCAAGCTTCAATATGCCCAATTAAAATGTCGAGTTACCTTTATTTTATTGTGATATTTTCTGGCTGTAAAGTTGTGAAGCTGGTTCATGGTCATCGTCCGAAAAAAAAAAAAACTTGAACTACTAAGACCAAGCTTGACATATAGTTTGTCTACTTTTTCAATTTACTAGTTTCATTTTACAATTCGCACAGAGCCTTGAAAACTAGTCGCCTTTTAAACATTTGTTCTTTTGTAAGTCACCCCACAAGCATACATAGCTATCAATCTACCCATCAAAACAACGATCAATGAGACAAGAGTCTCTAATACAATTTGTGTTGCTTCGCCTACGCATCGTATCATAATGTTTAATGGTTGTCAAACGATGTCTATACGTTCAACCTGTCTTGCACGGACCAATCATATTACTTGGTTGGATCACATGGAATGATGATATCAAAACATGTCACGTGATGATGGCTTTATCACATGTGCATCATGATAATAATCCATTTATTTTACAGGACACTTTACTCAAGTTGTATGGAATTCGAGCACGAGCCTCGGATGTAACTTTGCCGTAGACATTAATGGCAATACGCAGTTTGCCTGTGAATATCGCCCTCCCGGCAACGTACAGGGCCAAGTACAGGATAACGTCTTCAGACCCATTGATGAAGGAGAGAGCCGATAGTCGGTCAAAACCACGACCTACTTTGAATATAATACCGGCTAGTTTTTCAGACTACCTGTTATTCTCGCCATTTTGTTCTCTTACTTGAGAACACTAATCTACATAGCGGGGCATATTGCCTTATGCATTGGTTCTACATAGGTTCAACTCGGTACAGCATGAACACATCTCAGATTAATATGTCTAATTAAAGGGTGGTGGTCGTCGCACAGCTTACTGTAATATAAGGGACTCATAGCGACGCATACAATGCGTGTAAAGTAGCGCTGTGCGACGACAACACTACTTTTCATTTCTATATACAGTAAATCTAACATTAATGTACTAAACAACAGTGTTGTCAAACATTGCTTCGTAATGTATATTTTTGATCCACCGGTCTGCAAGGAACAAATAAAAACAGTGCAAACATACGAGAATCATGTTTATTGTCAAGGCATGTGAGCAAGTAAATTATGTGTGAACGAGTATATATCATAGTGTAATTTAAGCTATAGATGCATGTTTTATTAGCAAAATAATCTTCGCAGCATTGTGAATAGCGGAACATACTAAAAAGACGATTTTAAAATATACCAAGATGGCATAACAGAGTGTCTGATTTTTCCGCGGTGTTTAAAAAAATCAGCATCTCGTTGCCGATTTTTCTGTAATTTCCAGGGTATTCCAGCACGGTGATCGCTACAGCGAAAGGAAACATGTTTACTTCAAGTTCAATGTTGAAATGCCTTTGGAATAAACAATGCGTGGAAACATTTTTTAGTTTCGCCCACAATGCGAAAAGCTTGAAATCCATGCGCGAAAATTAAATCGCGCTATCGGGCCTTCCTCCTACATGAAAATGTTCTAAGATGTCCCGTGTACAGTATGTGTTGTGCTTGTGGGGAGACAGCGGTGACGTCATAAGCATTTTCTCCGAGCTCGTTTGAAGCACTTCTCTTCTGTGCCACGTCTACAAATATTGCATGTTTTTAAGTAAAGTCGGTAAATTTTATTTAAAGTTACAAGTCTCTGAGCGATCGTATCGTTCATTCATTAACAGTATGTGTTATGGCAATAATACCACGAACTACTTTAATTACAATCAAGTAGTTTGTTCCACCACTGTGTTGCATGATTATAATGTTGTTATACGCCTGGTAATTTAACACAGTACATTACTTTGCCCAGTCACATTACGTCCAATCTATCAATACCGCGTAAACACGTGGGAGAAAGATATTATGCTGGTAGCAGTTACTAGTGTAAACTTGTGTCAATGTCAACGCAGATGGGCGGAATATGACCCAAAATAAAACTGCATCATGGCTGTGACGAATGTTCGCAAACCGGACGTCATTCCTAATTCAGTATCAGGTATATTTATATAACAATTCATTGTAACGAGTCATTGTTTAGGGCGGGTCATATTTTCGAAAAGTTTCAGCAATTGCGGGTGGTCCTGTCAGAACGACTGGAATTGCCAGTATGTCTTCCCAAACTCTCGC